CTAGATCAGTATTTGAGAATAAATGCTATAATATTGAACAAACTGTAGTCATCATGAAACTTAAAAAAACAGGTGAATTAGTTGGTGGCTATAATCCAGTTTGTTGGAATATAAAAGAGAGATCACCAGATAAAGCTTATTCAATTGGAACTGACAAAAGTTTTATTTATAAGATAGATGATCAAATAAATAATTCAATATTGAGTAGGGTTAAAGATGCTGAACATGCGATACACCATAATAGTCAAAATATTAATTTTAATACAGATGATATTCAACTTAATTATATTTCTATAGATTTTTATGACTTGGGATTATATAATAGTATTAATAATGAATCTTATTGTTACTATTATTATTATAATTTTTTTGGTAAATATAGAAATAATTTGAAACTTAGAAATAAGGATAAAAATGTTCATTTGATAGAAGAATTTGAAGTTTATAAATTGATAAAGAAAAACTAATGGTTTTAAATTAGATTAATACTATACAGAATCATTTTATTATATGTGTATATATATAAAGAAATAAAGATACCATTTTTAAATAAAAAATCTGGATGTGCTATCGATGACACTTTATTTTGTCTTTCCCCCTTTGTGGGCAAATTTCCTTAAAATGAAAAGGAAATCTTCCTAATTATAGAAAGTTTTGTGGAAAAAACTGATTCGTGTACAAAATGAGTAATACTAACGAAGAAATTGTTTCAAAAACGACAGAAACCAAAAGTATAAAGATATTGAGTTCAGGTAAAATAAAGAAATATGTTCACACAGGATTAAAAGTATTTCAGGTTTGTGTTTTTTTATTTTTATTTTTTTTTTTGTCATGATTATAATGATAATGATTATAATGATTTTACGATAATTGTTTGCTTTCAAAAGAATGCGACAACGACAAATCAAAAAGATATGAAAAGTATTAGTAGTGTTGTAGTAGTGATATTTACAGCTAAAGGATCAGCTATTAATAAAGCGATTACAGTAGTTGAAATAATTAAGCGAGAAATGAATGGATTATTACATCAATAT